CAAGTCCTAACCGCCAAAAGCCAACTCTTGAGTTAATAGTTCACCAACGAATAGTGGGATTGCCCGTCTCTTTATACCGCCCCCACGGCTGAAAGGGCGAGCATATTTGGTGTGATGAGGATTCGAACCCGCGACCCGCAGATTGCAATTCGAGTGCCCTAACCACCTGGCCATGCCGGGCAGTGGGTTGAAGGAATAGGACTAAATGGTAATGACATTCTTGTTAAAAACGGGGGATCAAAAAGTTCTAGTGCATATCTAAAACTAGTCTCACATATTACCACATTATGTTTCAGGTTTCCTAATGTAATATAAATTTATTTTCATTCAAAGTCTCTACACAACTCATATTTAATTATATTAACCCTATAAGAATAATCCCCCAAAATAGCTCCACAACTTCGTATAAGAGAAGTGGGTCATATTAGGGACTAGCTATAACAGTACTTGTGGTGAAGATGTAGCGATCAGATGTCAATCATGTTGTCATGTTGTCATGGTCATAAGTATAAGTAGAGCTTCAATATAGTGCTATTTAAAACAAACAAACTATAACTGCGAAATGCAGCTAATATTGCACGAATAATGACCATAATAAAAAGAATCTTAAATAAAACTTATTAGGGCCATCTGAAATATGTTTTCACCATTTCAATGTTGGTAGTATAAAATACCCGCGTTCTGCTGCAAGGTACAAAGACCCACTCATGACCCACAGATGCTCCAATGTACCGGTCAAGCTTTTCCATTATCCACAATTACTTTTGTAGCTACATCGTGAGGGAAAGGGGGGGGGGCGTATCCGAAAGACAACAACCAAAAACGTTAGGACATCCACGATGGTATTTAAGCCTGTGTTTCAAATTTGGTTCTACGAGTGTGTGAGTGGGGATATTAACATAGTTACAAGAATGGCTCCTCTGTGATCCCGAAAATGACCAGGAACATAAATTCCGATGCAAAATTCGAGTTTAGCGATTCGACAAACCTACTTCTAGTCCCCCATTATGCTTGCGTAGCCTTCCAGGCGCCTTTTAGCCCTTTGATACCCCAAAAGATGTCCGTATCCGAAAAGAAAAAACAACAGAAAACCTGCCAGGACACACGGCCGCGGTACCTGAGTACGTGTGCCAAGTTTAGTCTCACTAGCTTGTGAGTGGTGTATGAACATGGTTTCAATAAAGAGAATGATAAGTCAAGGAACGCAAATTCCGTTAGCGGAGTTTTATTTCAGAGTTCGGGTAGATTTACTCCTGCATCTCCATCATGCCTGTGTGATCTTTTGGCTTCGTTGGTAAGGATCTAAGCTGTATAGATAAGAACACCCCCTGGGCCACTCCTGACTCAGTCTGTCAAGTTTGGTCATGTTAGCTTTAACACCATGAGAAGAGTTAGTGGGAAAACAAACAAACAAATTTATAGACAACTCGAATTAATAAAGGATATTTTTTTGTTTACATTTGTTTTTGTTTTTATGGAAAAGCTACTAAGGCTATATGCCACCGTTCCTATGTTTGAACAATTTACCAGAGAGAGAGAAGGTTCCACCATGTACCGCCCATCTTAAGGGATTAAGTTTCACTTTTACAATGCATTCAAAGCTTAAAGGTCAGAAAATATTTTGTGTTATTGTATGGATTCGAACCAAACTCAAGAGCTTCAAAATCAAAAGCTTTACCCCAGGGCCAGCCCGCGTCCTTCTTTACATTTAAACGCATTCCTAGGAGAATATCAATAAATTACTTTATATCAAGAGGTTACTTACTGCTGTCAACATTAAACCTGACTTTTTTTTTCTTTCACACATTGCAGTTGTAAACATGTTATTTAATAAAGAATACCATTGCTGATTTACACAATTTTTGGAAAGTTTCGTAGGATGAATAAATAATAATCGATGTTGCTTTTTAGATAAGTGTAATTTTAATGAAGATGACTTTGCCAACATTTATATTTGTGTCCCCTAGTCCTACTAATCTCGCCGTTAAGAACGAAAAAAAGATGATACATCAACACTGTCAATTCTCCTTACAATCTCAAACACTTCCCCTTTCAAAATAAAACAGTTTCAAAAATCGTAATCTCTCGTCATGTGACAAACCCTCCACCTCAGACACAATCCAAGTAACCCTGCCCTGAACCCTTTTCAGCAATTCAAGACTGAACACAATACTTCAAATGTGGCCTAACCAGTGACCTATTCAATGAAATTATAAACCCTTTATACTTGTATTCAATATTTCTGTAGATATAATGAGGATTTTGTTTTTTGTTTGAAGTTAAGCACAAAGCTACACAATGGGCTATCTGTGCTCTGTCCACCACAGGTATCGAAACCCGGTTTTTAGCATTGTAAGTTCGCAGACATCCCGCTGTGTCACTGGGGGGCTATAATGAGGATCTTCGAAAGAGCAATAAACTATTACGGATAATGCTTGGAGACGGCTTGAATGGGTAATGAAGAAAAACTCAAAGTGGGTTCCTCGTCATCGAAACTATTACGAACTTCCATCTTACTAGACAATAAGCACATTGAAAACTAAAGGTTTTGTTGTGAATTAACGCCATTTCAATTTTTATTTGATGAGTAAACGTTTTTAAAGAATGTTTAGCATGATGAATAGCAGAATAAAGTTATGCAAAAAGTGTTTAATTTGTTAGTTTTTAACCAACTTGAAAGAAAATATTTATTAAATATTATAATATATTTAAAAGTTTAATATTCTTTCATGAGAAGAGGACGCTGATGTATGACTTCATTTTGCGGCTTGTAATACTACCAAAAGTAATTCTAGACATTTTTTTTCAATCTGATTTGTATTTATTCCTTTTATTTGGCATTTAAATTTTATTTTATACATAAATTTATTCGTTCATGCCAAGTTATATGGTTAGTTTAGTTCGTATAAATGGAATAGGTATGTGTGGTACAATTACAAGTATCAGCTATCACTACCACATGCTAAGCCTAACACCTTAGTATAGAACACGTGTAATTTAAAACAATTTTGTTGATATTACTTATCTTTTAACTACTAATATTATTATTAATGCATATTAGACAACGCTTAAAATAGTTAGAATGTTAATCATATGAAGGGTTTGATGTGAACTCTATGATTATCTTTTAGAGAAAAATTCTTCATATGGACAATTACCTTTAACTTAAGTTTAACAGTTTCAGTAATTTAAGTTTGTCTATACTAAGTAATAGTACTTTATACTTAATACTGTAGTACTTTCTTAGTAGTACCGTGCTACTAGTAGTACTGCTGTTAATGTTATAACTAATGCCATACATATTGAACCATTATTAATATTAATCGGGAACCTGAATCAGTGATTAAAGTGAGTTGGTATGCAAATGAAAATCACATACTGCCACCTCCTCTAAAACAAAAGGGCATAATGATGCATTATAACCCACCCATAACTATTTGGTTTTGCACGAAATTACATTTGGCTTCATTGTTTCTGCAACTATAGTGTGGATATATTTCACAAGTTCAACATCAGTTTCCCCCTTATCTTCCTCCAAATGTGTGCATACCATCACCTTATCCAAATCACTTTAAACATTGGTGTGGATAATAAACATTTATGCCCTGGTTTTCTTACAGTGTAGAAATTATGTTTACACTGATCGTCAGTGTTGACACTAGGCATGAAAACTTAGCATAAAAGAAAATGTTAACAACAAATTTTATGTTATGATATATAATGAGAAAAAAGAAAAGTATGGAGATTTTTGCCTTTTTAAGATCATCAGACTTCCAGATTGAAAAATTAGAACTGTTTTGTTTCATATGGAATGACATTGTAGTAGCCCTGAAACAATTTAAATTGTAACAACCCATCTTTTACATTTCCTAAATATTCTGATGGTTTTCAACTTCTTCAACTGTCCATTGACAGGTTAGGTTAAAGAAATGTAGCTTAGAGGGAAAGAACACTCTACAATATGATTTGTCTTTGTCAGTTAAAATTTAAGGAAATTATGTGTAATGATAAACTGTACAAATAAAACACATTCAGATACAGAGAAACTGGGACAATTTAATACTCTTACTGTTTATGATTGGACAAAAAATAAGGCTAAAAACTGGGATATCTGGTCAAAGGTGTCATGCAGCTGAATTTTTTTTGGGGGCCTATTCTGAAAAAGTACCATTTTTTTAATAATAATGATAACACAAATAATAAATTTGGTACTTTCACATTTCATATTTAATTTCTGTTGCTAGTTTCATTAACTTACTGGTTTGCAAAACAGACAAATATTTTGAACGTTTAATCAAATGTTTATACATAGATCTAGGATTATTAAAACAGTGTGTGGAAAACATTTGGGAGGGGGTGCCCACTTGTAGCCTATGAGCACAAAACTTCTGCACTTATTAACCCTATTCCTTATGAACACAGTTGTGGAACACTTATGCCCCTATAATACCTCAAGGTTTCAGCTTTGGTCTTTGTGACCATCGTCAACATAGGTGATCAATATAAATGTGAGAGGCACTGGATACGAATTCTGCATTAGAGACTGGGAAGGGAAATTTCTCATAAATATTTTCAAACTGCCTTTTTAAATTTTAATAGTTATTTGCTCTTGTATTTTTAATATTCACATTTTTAATCTTGAGCATAGTTTTCATCTTCATTTTTTCTACCACATTCCAATTTTCTGTAAAAAAAAAGTTAATGTTGCATCTAAAACATTCCTTTTCAAAATCAACCAAAATAACTCTTTGTTGTTAGTAGCAGTGAAGATGGATTTCTATAAACAATATGATCTCATTGAAGATTATTTAAATATTTTTTTTCATCACACAATAAGTTATAGCTTATTGTGAATTCACCTCTGAAGAAGTAAGTTTTACCTTCAGAATATGTAATTGTTTGTCATTGTTTAGGTATTGAGTTTATTGGGCCATTTGTGTGAGGAATTTTGCATTAGATTAAATGCTAATCCTACATTTGCAGCAGGATTATTATTAATTGTCAAAATTAATGTTTTTGTTCATCAAAAGTAAACCAGTGTGAAACTACCTTTTTGAAATGTAGGATTTGTAGTTTTAAATATCAGATATGGCTGTTGGTTTTAACCTTGTGATGGTAGATTCTTGTTAGTTATATTTATTTGATTTTGTATAATCTTTTCATTTGTCACCTTTAAAGGTGAAAATATAAGTTACATGATTTTGATTTAGATATATATATGGGAAACAGTTGATTGCCTAATTTTGCTCAATAGTTAATTCAGTTTTCTTTACTCATTAACTTTGTGATCCATTTAGTTCTTCCTTAGAAATGGAACTCTCTGCACTTTGAGTGATTCCTCTGTAGTCTTGGTAGATAATTTAAATATTTTTTGTCGCATAAACAACAATCTCTTTGGTATGATTACCAAGATTTTTTTGTTGTGTTCTGTCTTTCAAAGCCTGTTAATAACTGTACATTGTTGGATTTAATAGCCATGTAATTTATCAAAGTATTACAATATGCACGTATTAGCATATGAGAAATATATGTAAAAATAAAAGCATATATTTAGTTGAAAAATACAACATCAAAAAATAAATTATTAAAAACAAACTGAAGGAAGTTATCTTAATTCACTACAGTTAAATCAATCATCATTTGAGCAAACCTTATCACACTATTGATCATAACGTTATAGGACAACAAGGGACCTTTTGGACATAGTAGGCCATTCCTCCTATCCATTTTATTAAACTAAACAATAAAAAAACACTCAAAGCCATCTCCTAGCAGTTAAATATTTATCAAACTTTCCCTTAAACTCCCTTACGTTAACTGCATCTACAACATCTGAAGGCAATCCATTCCAAAGACTAACCACCCTGTTAGAAAAATAAAACTGTCTTAGCTGATGATGACTCCTAACCCTTCTGTAAATTAAAAACCAATGATGTATCAACATTATCAACTCCCCTAACGATCTTAAACACCTCAATCAGATCCCTTCTAACTCTTCTTTTTTCAAGACAAAGCAAGTTCAGAGATTTTAACCTTTCCATCCCAGGTGTCATTCTAGTAGCTCTCATCTGAACCCTTTCCAACAATTCAGTGCCCTTTATTAGATAAGGAGCCCAAAACTTAACACAGTGCTCCAAATGTGGTCTAAACAATGATATTATAACCTCTTTAGACTTGAATTAAGTATTTCTTTAGATACAACCTATTTGCCCAGTCACTAGCATCAGCATGTTGCCTGGATGGCTTAAGAGACTGATGAACTAGAATATCAAAAGCTTTCTTGTCCATAAGACTGTTAAGGTCATTCCCATCAAAATTATACTCATAATTCAACTTGTGATATCTCAGTTACATTACTTTGCATTTAATATAACTAAAAGTCATCTGCCATTTATTTGCCCAACTCACCAAATAATCTAAATCCTTTTGTAAAGCTTTTTTGTATTCTGATGTTTACAAAAAAAGGTAAAATTTTTCATACCACGCATTGGGGAACTCAGGGATATTCTGAACATCCCTTCTCCTAAACTACTGGACTCATCAACTCCTTAGTGGTGCCAAAAGAGTTGTCTTGGCCCCATAATTTGCACAAAGGTAAATCTTTTCATGTAACCTCTTAGGGAAACTGGATATTTGGTGAAAACACTTTTATGGCGATTCCCCAAAAGCAAACCTCAAATTTGTCTTTGATTTACATTACAGCATGTAAATAAGTAGGCCTACTAATTACAATGTGTAACTTTGTTAAAGAAATTAAATTTGCATTATAGCGGCAATGATAAAAAGTGTAAAATAGTAGTTTAAGCATTATATTTGTGTTATAGTGGTCCTGTAAATGTGGGTCATATGCCCACAGGTTTGCTAGTACTTAATCACTTTTGATAAGCATTTCATACTTATTTATAACATCATACATATAACATCATCTTCACATTTAATCACTTTTTTCGTGTGTAAAATTGGTTGTTTGAAATGAGTACTTTCTTATGTTGTTTTTAACAATAGAAAGTATCATTTCTTGGTGTATTTTTTTTTTCAATTTTTACTCATATTTTTCTTTTGAGAGTTTTATTTTTCTGTTTATTTAACAAATGCTTTATTTTTCATTTTCTTATAACCAGGTTGACTGTGAGCATTCTAAGTGTTATGAATGTTGGATGTTTTCTGAATAACAGGTCACACCTTCACTTAGTTCACGTGGTTATAGCCCAGTAGTTTATGCTTATGGTTGCATTTCTTGAAGCTATTCCGTTAGTCAATAACAGTTTTTTGTAACCATTTCTTTTTGGTATCAAATAGTCCTTTTTTTTAACTTACGACAGCTTAGGAAGCCCAAGTAATGATTAATATTAACTACATGTATATACCTTGTAACGAGCATAGGTAATTAAATATAATGTTCAATAAACCCAACAATGTTTTACAAGGTTTGGCTAGCTCAGAGATCTAAGGTTATCCTGAATCCATACACTAAACTAACCATGCAAAATAATCATTATAATAAAATAATAAACATAGATAAAAAATATAAGAAGATATATATATTCCAACCAACAGTGTGTGTCCACAATATGGTAAAAGTTATGCTTATAGATTTAGATTAGTCCTAAATCATAAACTAAGTCAGTAATGTGAAATAACCTATAATAATAATTAAAATTAATTATAATAAATAATACTATTAATTAAAGTAATCTTAAAGAAAGGATAGGATATAACTTACTATTGTTGCTGGAAAATAATACTTGCTGCCCCTGAAATCTACTAAGAATGAAGGAGCTAACCCAGATTAGTAAAGGTTCTTTATGGGTGCTTATCACGTCTTGTGACATCATTGATGATACGTAATTTTTCCAGTTTGTGTATGCAGAATTTTTTTATATAAAACTGGTGCTTCATCTTGATTAAATTTGTAATTTAAATTTTACAGGAGTGTCAGAAAAATACTTAAAATATGCCACCAAAGAAAAAAGACTCTGAAATCGAAAAACCTCCACTTATTGGACGAGTCGGAACTAATTTAAAAGTTGGAATTGTAGGACTCCCAAATGTTGGGTAAATAAACTGTGAGATTTAATTGTATGTGACACTTTTTTGTAAGTTAAGATTTCAATATTTAGAGAGCATGTAAACATTTTTGTGTAATTTTGCTCACTCATTTTTGATAGGGATAATACACTAAGGTTGTACTTTGTGATGAATGCAGTATTACATTTGAATGTGCAAAATAAAACATTATTGAGATGGGAAGCCAAACTCTACACCATTTCTTTATATTTTATTTAATTTGGTGAGGAAAATGTCATATTATTAAAATTTACAGTTTTTCATTTGGTTTGTTAAAATTGTTGTTTTTACCAACCATAGTCTTAAAAGTTACTTACATACCTTTTCCTTGCTTTCAAAAGTTGAAAAATGTTTTTTATTGTTTCTTTCACATTTTTCAGATTTAGTGAAGATTTTAAGTCTAGTTGACATTGTCTTTGTGAAAGTTGGGTTGTTTTATCATCCTTTATTTCATTTTATTTTATAACAAAATATTTTACCATTATCTGATTTAACTGAAAAGAAAATCCTAACTGCTGAGCCTAACAGCTGGCACAGGCACTATTGTGGTATTGTTAGATAAACTTTCTTACATGCAAGTATCAGATAGGTCTGCTTAATAACTAGAGGACTGAGCAGGAAGTTTGCAAAATAAGTAATCTGAATTTGAAAACCAACTGAGTTTTAAGCTGTGTTAAAAATAAACAGATTGGACACATTTGATGGAAAGTGAAAACAATCTTTATTAGTGAAACAGCAAAAGAAAATAGGGTGGATATTTGTGTAGACAAATGGATGATTGCCATTACCATATTAATGAATCAGTCAGCTGTTGAGCTAAACACTTAAACAGGTAGAACTGAAAAAAAAAAAAAGGTTCCAATTCAGCAAGAAATCTTGTACCCTTTCTTTATGGTAACATCAGTGGATACGTATTATTTCTCCAACAGTATTTGTTGGCTGGAACACACGGGCATCATCCACTTGACCAGTAAAGGACATTAAAGTCATTGACCCCTTCAACATTTAAGTGAAGTTGCAGCAATGTCCCCACAGGCAGCACAGATATTATTTGTTATCGAGGACAATAAAGACACAAAGGCAACTAGAATTAAACAATTTGAGCAGTTTTCTGGACCATATGTTTATGTCAAAACCACATAGAAACAGTCTAAATAAAAATTTCAAAGAATTTCTGTGTTAATGAAGGTGGTGGAAAATGCATATTTCAATGGGGAATTCCTGATTTTCTTGACATTTTAGTGTGCTTGCTGATATAATCTAATTTCTTGAGATTTTCAACAGTTCTCCAATTAATTTTAAGTACTAACATTTAGTCTGCTGTCTTTTTTTTAAATTGAAAATAATAATTCAAAGTACAGAACTATTTAATGCTAAACTGCTAAGCCTAACAGCTGCTATTGGTACCATTTTGGGTTGGTTATTCTTTTTATGATACTTTAGTGTGATTGCAGGTATGTCCAGTGAATTTCCTGAGCTTTTGTTTTTCAACTGATCTGTAATTAATTTCATCCATTAAAAATTAATATATTTTCAGAAGTGAAAATAATTGTTCCAAATGCAGCAGAACTTTATTGCTGTAAATCTGGTCAGTTACTTTGTTAAACTTTATTGCTGTAAATCTGGTCAGTTACTTTGTTAAACTTTATTGCTGTAAATCTGGTCAGTTACTTTGTTAAACTTTATTGCTGTAAATCTGGTCAGTTACTTTGTTAAACTTTATTGCTGTAAATCTGGTCAGTTACTTTGTTAAACTTTATTTCTTGGCTGTTACAATATTATTTTATATCTTTGCTTTAAGTTTAATTCAAACTTGAAGATATGATAATATCAAATGTATAAGAAAATTTAAACATATAAACTGTTAATCGTAAAAATTTGTAGTGCTAGTTAATGATCACTCATTAGCTTTATAAGTAATATATATATATGGTTCTTGGAAATTTTTCGTGGGTGAAAAAAATATATGGGAAATAACTTTAGAAATAGTGAAGTGCCTGAATTTTCAAAACCCTTGTTTGGCTAGAAAGGTATATTTTACATGTTTATGTTAGATGATGGTCAACTTCTTAGCTAAGTGAGTAAGATAGATTGACTTTCAAAAGATATGGTCATGATTAAAAATTACTGAATATTATATTTTTTGTACTAATTACCAATTAGCTGTTACTTTTTCAGCAATATCTCTAAAAGTATAAAAATATGATGTTTTTTTTACATTTTGGAAGTGTTATCTAGAATAATAAAATAACCTTTACTTTGGAAATACATGTTTCTAATCAATGTACACTTACTTTAATGAGAAAAAAACATTTTTTGATAATCAAGAACAGGAAGGCCACAGGAACAATTGATAACATTTAAAATTCAAACTTTTCAGAATATACATTTATCATCATCAGCAATCTGTAATTAAAGATATCAAGTTATTCTTAACTGTGATACAACAAGGTAATGGAAGAACATGAAAGAAAGTAACCAAACAATAGATATGTAAAACAGGTTCTCCAGTGATTTCAAGCCCACTCTTTTACTGAACATATAAACAGACTTTTAGGTTACTTCAGTTCCTAACATGTTAGCATTAGGTTCACGTATGAAAGCACTTACACAACTACACAGGGAGCAGTATTAACATATTATTTTTATAAAAGACTTCAGAATTCTGGCATCACACTCATCTAATCAATAACTACTCACAAAAGAAATCTGCAAATATCCAATGAATGCCCAAATTTTAACAGTAACCAGTAGTCATATTGGCTATATGTATTCTAAATGTATATAAATTGATATCATATGTAATTATAGATCACTGATGTTGGTAGAAGTATATCCTGTAACGTTTAAATATTAAGTATTTTTGTAAGCTGTGATTTCAATGTAGTAGTTTAAATACTGGCAGGAGGAAGCTGTGGGTTTTACTAATAACATTCAGATCAAAAGGTTTAATAAGATAGACCTGGAATAGCTAGAAAGTTCTAAGGCTATGTTGTAAAGTTTTATTGTACATTCCAAGTTAAATTATAAATATAACATAGTTGTGAAGTGTGCAGAGTTGTCTCAAGTTTTTCAAGAGTAGAATGAGTTGAAAGAGATAGTGTGTAGTTTTTTCAAGATAGAGAGTTGAATCACTCAGTGTGTTTTCATGAAGTATTGGGATCTGTGTTTGATATTGCATTTATTCAGTTACTTTGTACAAATAAGTTGATTTGTTTCACATTAGTTAATGCCATTTGTTGTGCAAGCTTATAACAATTTACAGATGTGTACAAGTGTTTAAGCTTGTATAATTGTAATAGGAGGAAGTATAGTAATATATTATCGTTAAATGGGCTGGACATTGAATTATTTTCACCAGAAAATTTAAAAGAACTGACCAACAAAAGAACAATGTTACAACAATATGTTATCAGTCCTTGCCATGGTCTTTCTGTTCTTTTGAAATATATTCATATAATATAGTCACAAGTGTTTTTGAACTCTCTCTGTGAAACTTGTCACAGTTGAGTAATTTTCATAAAAAAATCAAGCATACTTTGACTGCCTTGAGATTCATGTTAAATTTCAATTTTAAAGTAGAAATTTATGATAATGAATTTAAATGTCATATTCAAATAATCATATTTACAGCCATTTAAAAATCTGTGATCGTATAGCTGATGGAACTCTGTTGATTATTAATTTTGTTTTCCTCCAGAAAATCCACATTTTTTAATGTTCTCACAGCAAGTCAAGCTCAAGCAGAAAATTTCCCATTCTGTACCATAGATCCAAATGAAAATAAGTATTGATTTGATTTTATAGTAGATTTTTTAAGTTATCTAACTGATGGATGTATTGGGGGAAAAAAATATTTTTATTTTAAAAATATCTGTATTACTGTGTGATCAAGTAATTCCACACTATGTTCAAGTTTACTAATTAATGAAAGAGAATTATCGGACATCACATTGTTGTTTCATATTAGTGATAGTAAACAGCAAATATAATTAAGCAGATAGATTTTTAATGCTTCTTTGGAAAATTTGCTCATTTTCCAAATGAGTCCTTTAACGTACTTGACTAAATTTGAAGCTTTCAGGTACAAAAACATAATAGAAAATGTTGAAAATTAACAAATTGTGAATATTTCGTATGAGGTAAAGACTTAATTCAGTTGGTTTTTAAAGGATACTTTGTTGTTTTCGTTCTTATGGTAAGGTATGTGTGTAGATGTGTATATATATATATATTTTTTTTTTCTTTCTAGATACGTCGAGTTCCTGTTCCTGATGCTAGATTTGACTACTTATGCAATTTTTACAAACCTGTAAAGTAAGTGATAAAACTGTAATTTAAATTCTGGTTTTCGTTGATGAAAACAGATTTTGTGCTTTTTAAAAAATTAAGTGAAACGGCAAACTGCCAGGAAAAGTGACCTAAATTTATGTTGAAACTTCCTTGCTTTTAATTTTTCAAGTTAGACAGATAGTTGAAAATAACTTCTCATAACTAAAGCAGTACTTACATAGTCACCCCCCCCCCCCATGTTGGGTTGGCACAGCACAGACTTCTACCGCTAGAAACCGGGTTTTGACACCCGTGGTGGGCAGAGCACAGATAGCCCTTTGTGCATAACTACAAACAATTTACACATACACACATATATGTAATATTAAGTTTTTTATTATGGAAAGTCTAAAGATTATTAATCAGTAACATGTATATTTTTCTGAATGTATAGACTTTAATGATTAGTAGGCACTTTTTTTTATCTTTATATAAACATAGCCTTCCATTATACGAAATGTTGTAATTTTATATTTTAAGTGTTATAGCAATGTACATTAAGTTTAGAAAACTTTGTCATATAGAACATTTGTCATTGTGTATTTCAAGTGCTTTACTATATAATTGGGTTAATTCAAAGCAATTATCTAGTAGTATAGTTTCACCACATCTTCTAAGGTTCTACTTGCTGTTGATACATATGTTTGATCATTGTAGGTATTTCAATGTCAGCTTTAAGTAAAGAGGCTTACCACTCTCAGTGATAACCAATTTCAAATCTTATGTAATCTTAAAATCTGAATGTAATGCTTAAATATGAAATTTATCTATTTTCAAAGTGTGTGACATAGATATCGTTATCTGACGATTTTAATACATTATACAACATCTGAGCTAACAGTAACCTTCACATTTTTTCTTAGTTTGACAACTACTTCTGTACTGTTTTCATCTGTAGTTCATGTGATATAACACTTGTAAGTTATATTTTGGTTTTTTTTAGAACTGTGACTGTGTAGTCAAATATAAACACTTAGTTCTTCTAAAAAAGTGACTGTGTAGAAGTGTTTATATTTGGTTTTCTAGAAGAACTGTGACTGTGTAGAAGTGTTATCCCTTCAAAATTACTTGAAAGCAAAGATTTGATAATACTTTATCAACCTAATGGAGGACTTATAGTACTGACCTAATGGAGGACTTACAGTACTGACCTAATGGAGGACTTACAGTACTGACCTAATGGAGGACTTACAGTACTGACCTAATGGAGGACTTATAGTACTGACCTAATGGAGGACTTACAGTACTGACCTAATGGAGGACTTACAGTACTGACCTAATGGAGGACTTACAGTACTGACCTAATGGAGGACTTGTAGTACTGATTGTTTGCAAGCATTTTTGTTTTTTGCTTTATGTACCTGCATTATAGTGAGTCTAAATACTGTTTTTTCTTTGTAGTGAAACTGAAACTTGTATGTGGCATGACTTCAGAATTATGTTTTATATATATATATATATATTTTTGTGGGTGTGTATTTGTATTTTAATTTATTTTTATTATTTAGTTTTATATAAAAAGAAGCTTCAGGTTTTATCTGATAGGATCAATATTTTGGAGGTAATTTGTTTTTTTTATGAAGAAAATTAAAAGGTATCAAACGAATGATGAAGTGTTATTTTGTAAAGAAAACTTGTATGAAGTTTTCTTTATCTTATTACCCACCATTAAAAAACAATGTAAGGTTTCTATGAAGAGCTGAAGATTTTATATTACACATGATAGTATATTAGTTTGTATTTTTTTATTTATTATACCAGACCCTTCACCTTTTAGGGTTATGCTGTGAAGGTCTTTCAGTTTTATATCTCATCGTCCATTATTCCAGTATCTACCAACTCAGAAGTTCTGGTACCTGTTATCTAATCTTTCTACTCGTGCTGTGTTTGATCTTGATTACTTTTACCTGGTGTAAACCATTAATCAGGTGTGGTGAGACAGGAATGTGGCTAAGCCCGTAATAGTCCAGAGTAACAAAAATTTTAGGGTTTCTCATTAATGGACTCTGTCATCAGTCAAATCAAGGCTGTGAAAATATTTATATAGATAAGGAGGTGACTTTAGGAAAATCTGATGTTTCAAAGTTAAGCACGAGTTATTGGATTTAAAAAAAAATTTAGAGCCTAGAAAATTTGATGTTTCAAAGTTAAGCATGAGTTATTTGATTTAAAAAAAAAAGATTTAAAGCCTAGAAAATCTGATGTTTCAAAGTTAAGCACCAGTTATTTGATTTAAAAAAAAAGATTTGAGTCTAGAAAATCTGATGTTTCAAAGTTAAGCATGAGTTATTTGATTTAAAAAAAAAGATTTAGAGCCTAGAAAATCTGATGTTTCAAAGTTAAGCATGAGTTATTTGATTTAAAAAAAAAGATTTAGAGCCTAGAAAATCTGATGTTTCAAAGTTAAGCAAGAGTTATTTGATTTAAAAAAAAGAGTGGAGTATCTTTTACATGAAAATTATTACTCTAGCAAATAACAAGGTGGGTAAGAAATATTCAAATTGTTTTGAATTATTTTTGTTTGTATCATTATATTGGGAAGTATCAAGTTGTCCTTTTAATGTTTGTAAACCGAATTATTGTCCATAGGTGTGATATTTAAGTGTGTGATATAATCATGAAAATATGCAATATTGGTTGTTTCCTGAACCAAATATAATAACATCGTACAATACCCAATTTGTTATTGTACAAATAGCAGTAATCTGTTAGTTTATCGAGGACTAAACGGTTTTGGTTGTAGTAACGATCATCACAACTGTATGTTTTAATAGCATTGATTTTGTGTTGTTGGAAGATTTCACACTTAGTTCCTCTAAATTGTGTTTCTGACAGTGTTTGTTTATGTAAAATCAGCCTTTTACTTGATAATAGACGTAGCATGCCAGTTAATGATGCTGGAAAATACAAAAATAATTATATTAACTATATATAGGAGAGGCAATTGTCGACGTTTCGAAAAAGACGGTTTGTCCAAAACTGTGATCATTTTGCATTTCTTACCAGAATTTTAAATATACAGTATTTTTTATTCGCTATAGACATTATTCCGAACAGATTTGAAATTTGCAGTTTAAGTGACTACGTGTCTTGAAAACAGTGTTTAATTCAAGGCTACCCTCAGAAGGAGAATGTAAACTTGCTGTTAGCGAGATAATTTTACGCATGGTCTAAATCTGTTTTATTTGGCTTATTATATAGTTATGTGCACATTTTAAAGGAAAACTTTCATAATTAGTTTTCACGTCGTCAAACGGGTTTCGAAAATTAATCGAAACGCAAGACGTTTTCAAAATTTTGATTAAAAGATAAAACGTATTTTAAACAACTCTCTTGAAAGTTGGACGCTTTTTTGTTTTTTAATCAAACTTAAATCACGACTTATTTTCGAATCAAAAGCCTTATTATCAACTGATTTTCTGTTTTAACTTTTCATAGGTGTTTTTGTAATTGCTATTTTCACACTTTTCAAAAAATTACTTTACGAGTTGCACTTCGAGATATTTCAAAATCTTCTCGAGTGTGGTAATAGTACCGAAAGTTTCATGGCAATATAAAACTTTTTAAATCTAGAATAAGCCATTAATAATGGTCTATTTGAAAAACATGCTGAGTTATGTACAGTTAATCGTACGTACCTTAAAGTTGTGAAAATATAAGTCGTAGTTCTACAGTGTCAGAATTATTCATTTTGTTTTTCACAAAATGTTGAAAATATAAGCCATTGTTCAACGGTGTTGGAGTTTTCACAATTTTCAACAGTGGTTGAGCAATTCCTTATTTTGACCTCGAAGAAGAAGAGACCACTGTTTATTATTGCTTTGGCATGGCCTGGAGGATTTCTGATGGTGAATCCGAGGGTTCGTGGTTTCACGGCCTGTTGCCAGAAAAATGGGCTCCACGTTCTGAGACCACCATGCGCTACATGAATGTCGGTCAAAATCACACTATTCGGTCAGATAAAAATTGACTAGCTGCCTTCCCTTTAGTCTGTTAGTTCAAAATTAGGAACTGCTATCCATGCGTTGCTCGAAAATTCTGGAACAAACGTTATGGCCTTTTATAATCGCTTTGCAAAAAAATTACCGTTTCAGAATGTAACATAATAGATGAACTTTAAACTTTTTCCGAATGTATATTAAAACAATGCTTAATTTGTTGAACAACGTTTGAAGATTTAAAAGTCTGACGCCAGCTGGTCAGCGCTGGACATGCAGCTGTACGAGATTTTCAGTATTTTCAAGAGTTCCTCTCATTTACTTGTATAATTGGCAATATGTTAAGAGTAGATGTAATTACGATGAGATCAGCGTACTTGATATTGTAACTAACTTTCGTAAGCAGCCAACTACCCCCCCACCCCAACTGCCTCAGAACGATTTTTTTTTCTACTGCCAACTTGTGTGATCTCGTAACCTGATAACAGATGCCGCGCTAATAGTACTGGTTGATTGGTGGCGCTTATCAACACTACGAATCTATCTCTGAGCTGACACTACTTCGGAGAGCAACACGTTTCGCTTGCATCGTGATCGTCTGTTATTAAGGAAATGCCATTTCTGATTGAACACGTGTATCATCAGTAAAAACTGAGTTGATTAGATTGAGTTAAAAAATTAACGAAAATGTTTGCTGTAATTTTTATTTTTGTCCAGAAATCCTATTATTAGTGTACGGTACAGGGACATTAGTATGTATGTATGTGCTGTATATTTTGTATGCGCGTTTACGTTAGTCCCTGTAGTGAGGTTATAAAATACCTTACACAAGCCTACTTACTATACATATAATAACATTTCATGTATACATTACTCGAAGGGCCCGGCATGGCCAGGTGGTTAAGGAGCTCGACTCGCAATCTGCCGATCGCGGGTTCGAATCCCCGTCCCACCAAACATGCGCGCCCTTTCAGCCGTGGGGGCATTATAATCTGACGGTCAATCCCACTATTCGTTGGTAAAAGAGTAGCCCAAGAGTTGGCGGTG